TCCTTGTCCTACGAAGAGTTTCCTCCAGGGTAGTTTTCATCTATAAGCCGTTAAGGAAAGCAGAAGGTTTCCAGATGAAGTCGGGCTAAGTTGTTCTCCGTGGACGCGCATCCACGGCGCCCAGTGTGCGCACTGAAACCGATGCGCAAAGCCACACCGCTCGATGTAACCACGTTACCACCCCTTAGGAACCCTTTCTTCAAATTTGACTGTCAAATGTGGATTCTCTGATAATTGCTCGCTACTGAAGGGGCAGCTGTGCAAAGTGGACGAATCAGAAGGCAACGGCTTAACCGGATAAATCTGCTTATGTGTTAACAGCCTCAGCAGGTTGGCAAATCAGGTTCGACTGAGACAGCAAACAGTGTGGCAATCGGCTGTTCCTCACATATGTAGACTTCTTACACTAAACTGCAGCCCTGAATATCAGTACATGGGAAAGACTTTACATGAAGTCATCCGTTAATTGTTTATATAATATTTTCTGCTACACTGAGTAACAATGAGACATATTTCAAACACATATTTAAACTCGATCTTTTTTCTAAAAGTATTCAAGTAGTTTTAAAGCTAGCCAATCAGGAAGAGGAGGAAAACGTCAGCAACAAGTGAGACCAAAGTGGTGAAACACAAACTGCGCTCCTATAAGCTTCGCTCTACACTTGCTGTAATAAGCTGCAGTTATAACCCAAACATGCTACACAGGTGTATACCCCCGTCCCAACTTTGCTCAAATCTGGAATCAAATTTCAAAATATTATTAACAATAATAATCTCAGTTTTAACATTTATTTATGGTAAATGAAGTACAACATATATAAGATAGAGCCACTAGTGTGCTACATGTGGTTGCAACATGAGAAACAAATGGGTAATGTGAAGATAGTTGCACTGTTTATGGTTTTATCTCAGCTGCTTCTTTTAGTTTCACATCAACAGCAGTCTCCTATTTTTTCATAATTTTCTTCTTCATCTCAAAAAAAAAAGAAGCCTGCAGCTCTCTATATTGGCACTATATTTAAAGTCATATAATTGGGTTAACCGGGTATCACATGGCGGTCATCACATGATGAGCATTTCAAGTACTTAATGGGCATTTTGGCAGTGTTGGATTTTACTTGTTTTGTGTGTTGATGATCAAATATGTGGCTTAGAAATGAGCAAATGAAAATAAAAGCTTCAGAAAACTAATTTTAGCAGTGGCGGCTCTGCTGAGAGTCTGTAAATATTAGCGTTGTTAGTGGATTATGTGGCGCTTGAAGCATGAAGGCTCCCATTACTGATATCTGCACATATCTAATGCCATTGCTGGGCATTCTTTCTGCTATTTTTCATGCTTGAATACACATTTCAGGAATATGGTGACTGACATATATCTGAATGACTGATTGGATATGCCCTGATTAGCAGTTCATCATCATGATACTGGAACTGATGCCGAAGTCATTCTGCTAGAGTCTGAGAAGCAGAATGAGCTTCACAGTCATGTGTAATGAAGTGCTGCCTGCATCACTGCCTTTAAAGACTATCTGCTCTTAGGAATTTTCTGTTTCTCAGATTGAAACTGAAAGTCCTGGAAACGCATCAGTAGAGGAATACTCTATTCCATACTTTAATGTCTCATAATTAAAAGCTTTCCACTGCTGCTCTTCAAGGGTAGCGCATCTTTGAAGTTAGAGTGAGGAAGTAGAACTGGATTATGCCAAAATGGGAAATCCTGTGATCGCTGTTGGTAAAATCACACACTGACTCACTGAGATAACACCTGGTGTGTCTTCTATTCACTGATGTGGACACAAATGACCAGGTCAGTAACAGCATTTCACTTAAAGTTTCCTGAACATTTCTTTGGATACTTTGATAGGTGGTATTATCTTGCTGGGGTTACATGATATCATGAATGATGAACCAGACCCTGTAAATTATTCAGTGTATTCACTACTGCAGTGATGAACAGTCCCAGCCAGCAGCAGCAGGCCCTTGCTAAATGTGGCTGCTTAAGGCAGTGTTTCCAAACGACTGTGGTGCGGCACAAAGGTGTGCCATTGAAGATTATCTGCTTCCACCTGATTAGTAA